AAATAATATCGTATAAAATTAAGTGAAATAAAGTTAAATGATTTATATTTTGAGATAGTATGAGTAATTATTAAAAAGTGTAACTAGAAAATCTATAATTAAGGCTATATATATTTAAGATTATTGTAAAGTGATGTATGTATGGACTTTTTAGTATTTATTTATAAAAAAAATTATATTATTATTAAATAATTTTTTTTAGAATAGACTTATATATTAATATAACCATAAATTTATATAAAATATTATTTAAAATTAATTTAATTATAATAAATTAATATTTTAATAAAATATTATATGAAAAAATACTATAAAAAAGTAAGCCAAACGCAACTTAAATTATTATTATAAACACCGAAACTTAATTATTAAGGTTCTATTTTGTGAAATCTAGGTTCTGAATGGTCAATGCAAAAAGTGAACATGGAAACCAAGCCAGCAAAATGAGCCGATTTCTGGAAGAGTCGAGGAAGATGTATTTTTTCATGAATTTTTTAATTTTAATATAGAAAATATAGATGTAGGCAAATATATATGATTATTATAAATAAAGAATTTATCTTTAATTAGATTAAAATAATGAATTTAATTTAATGTATAGTAATAATATATGTACAATGTTTTAAAAGATGCTGCACATACAATGTTTTTTACACAATACTTATACATAATACTTGTATAAAAAAATGTTGTACATGTAGTTTCTCCTAATGTTTTTATAATATAATATCAGATTAGTAAATAAATAAATATAGATTATCATGTGTGTCTTTTAAATAAAAAATAATCACAAAATATGTTATTATTGTATAACATATTATTCTTTTTCTTTTTAGGATTTTAATTGTACAATGAGAGACATTTATTTCACATCTTTTATCATATTTTACTTACATGACGACTGAAATTCAAAATTTTTTACTTTTAGTAAAAAGAGATGATCACTGAATTACTTAAATTATTGGCACAACATATTATTTTTAAAATAGTATACATCTGGCATTTTTGTTTAATTGTTGACGTAAAATACTATCGGAGGAAAATTTAGCAGCCCATTAATCAGGCACCACATACTGGTTCCTTAGAATTCAAAAAGTCAAGTTTCCCTTAGTCACAGGAGGCTGCGCACGTTTTTATCCATTCGCGCACCCTTTACAATGAACCAGGCGCGACCACCTCCATTTCAAATCACAAAAAGTAAAGCCAATTATAGTCTCTCTACTTTTAATTTTTGTTCACTGTCCTCCCCATACTTAGAAATCTCTCAAAGACCTCATCCTACTCTTCCCAAACATATTATTTTTCTCCCTTTACTTTAAATTTTCAGAACAGTTACCTTCCTCAACTAACACCATTACTAACTCTCATTTAACAAATGTTTTTTTAGGTGTTAAATTTCAACCTATTTACTCCATCCTTCCCTACTTTAAAATGATTATAACAGTTTTTTATTTAATTATTAATAATTTAAACATTATTACTTGTCATATTGGATAGAATTTTATTTTAAACACTCTTTAAAATTAAGGTTTTAGAAGAATAAATTGAACAATTATTTATTAAAAAATTCTATTCTTTCTTAGCAGCCAAAAAAATATATATGACAAATTTTGATCCCAAAAAAATTTTTTTTTGCCATGAAAGCAATTTTTTTGGACTTCGCAAAAGCAAACTTTGGAATTATGCAAAATAAAAAATAAAATAAAATAAAAAACTTTAGATTTATGATTGAAACACTGCTGTGGTGGAGTTCACATACATGTGCCTCCAACCCAAGTCTCTCTAATATTACATGACACCAATCCTACCCTAAAGCAATAGAGGAGCACAACAGATAAGATGATTGAAGAGGAAGGGTGATTTAGACATTGGAGTGGAGTTTAGGTTCATTACTAGGGAAACTAATCAAGAACATTAAGTAAATTCAATCGAATTTCAAGTGGATTAGGGATTTAATGATTTAAGGGAAGAAGAACAAAGTTTTCAAAAGATGGATTAGGGATTTAGGGATTGAGAACTTTAAATAAGTTAGAGCTTTAAGGGAGGAAGTTGGAAGTTGGAAGTTCTCATTAAGTCCCATTTGGGGTTAAAGAAAGAACTAAACATATTTGGCCGGGGCTCATTCAATGCAATCCAACCAATAATAATAACAAATTAATGAACGGGTTAAATTTTAATAGTTAAAAAACATCCATTAAATGAGAGTTAGTGATATGGTGTTGGTTGGGTGTTAGCTGAGGGAAGTAACTATTATGAAAACTTAAAGTAAATGGAGGACAATAGTAGGTTTTGAAAGAGTAGAGGACACTCGTTAAACAATTTCTAAGTATGGGGAGGACAAGGAATGAAAATTGAAAGTAGAGGGACTATAATTGGCTTTAATTGGATTATCCATTACTGTGTACATATATATCTTATCTATTTAGCTTGCGGGTCATCCCAAGCACCTCCGCAGATTCTTTCATCCTTCTCCTTTTTGTTTTTTCCCCTTTACCAAAATTTTCTAATCCTCCCCCTTCCACGAAACACCTCACCAATTAAAAATCCCAAGCCTCCTTCCCTTATATAAACCCTATCCTCCTTCCTCAATTTTGGATTAATTAAATCATCATTTCATTTCATTTATATAGGCATTCTGTTCTGAATTCTGATTCTCCGCTGATTCAATCACTTGTTACATATATGGCTGCGCTTGGGATGCAAATGAAAAGAGTTAGAAAGGATGGTGGTAGAAGAAGTGCTAAGAAGGGCATCAAGGTTGTGTATATTTCGAGTCCTGTGAAGGTGAAGACTTGTGCCTCCAACTTTAGAGCTTTGGTGCAGGAGCTCACGGGAAAAGATTCTGATGCGGCCTACAGACTGATGGACATGGACATGGACGCCAATTATGATGGTCGTATGGCGGCGGAAGATGGCGGTGAAATGGTGGTCGCCCCCTTGCAGGCTAATAACTATCCATCGAGTAGTGCTACTGCTCATGAGTCGTCGCCTACCTGTTCGGATTCTGTGTTTGATGATGCCCTTTATACGGACGGGAGTTTTCTGGGGATGTTTGCTTCAAATAATTATTTTTTGCAAGAATCGTCTCCGCTGGATGTGCTTACAAGCTTTGATGCGGTTTAATTAATTAGTCTTTGACTATCGTGACTCTATGCACAGCACATGTTTTCTATACACAGATCTATAGCCATATGAGGGGGCCTTGATTGTAATATTGCTTTAGTGTTGCAATTCGGTATATAGTCTATATAGTAAAATCAGGCCCTGGTTTATATATGTTCTTTTTGTTATTTGATTTTATTTATTAATAAAGTAAATTTGATACATTCTTGTTAGTTGAGTTTTTAAGAGTGTATAGTGCATTTTCCTCTATAATACATAGTGTTGAATTCCAAAATCTCTCATCACTCAATATCAAAAGAATTGCAATAATATTTATGAAAAATATATTTTAAGAAGAAAAAAAATTACAAGACATTCTATTATAGTTATAAAATATAATATAAAGTTTAATTAAATCTCATCTATTATATAATTATGATTAAACTTTAAATGTAAGATATTCTAATTTTTCATGTTTTTGATAATTTAATGTAAGGTGCAAAACATTTTAAATTTCAAAACAAAAATATAGTGGATGGCCAAAAAAAAAAAAATACAGTGGATTTTATATTCAGCAAAAAAATATTTAAATACAGTAGTTTTATTGGGGATGGACAAAGCTAATAATTTTTTTTATTTATTAGTAGTGGGACACAGCTCAACTGCTCTATATGATAAAATTCAAGCCAAAACAATCACGTGAATCGACAATTTTGATTGACACTAGCTAAAATGTTTGATTTATCTATCTAGCTAGTAGCTACCATGTCGCCAAGTTTATTGTAAGTTCGTATCCCCCTTTTTTTTTTTAATATAAATAATTTATTATAATTTACAACTAAAGTGACTAAAGAGAAAAGGAAAAAATAAATAAAGGATTGGTGAAGTTTAAGCCTGTCTCATCAAGTAAATTTCATATGATCATTGCTTTTTTTTTTTTAATTAGTTATACAATGGTAGGTAATTTTTTTTATTTTTTATTTCATTCTAATATATATAATGTGATTTAAATTCAAAATTTTTTTTAATAAAAAAATTATCACTAAATTATTTAAATTATTAACATGATTATTGCTTTTTTTTAACTTAAATTTTTAAGTGAATTTTACATGATTACTGTACTTGTAACTTGAATTTCTAAATTTATCGGAAACCTATAGCTTCACATTGCTCATATTTGAATTTTTAACTATGTTATAATTTTATTGGATTTTTTTTTTTTTTTTTGGGTACATGCACTCATGCATTCATTCCTTAGTGACGCTCACACCGCGCGAACCACAATAACTTCAGTGAGACCGTCGGGCACGACGTGGATGGCAAAACCAAATAACTATGTACAATCCGAGTCAGATGTTTTATGTGGAGAGCCTTGAGTTATGGCAAACCAAGATGTTTTTATGTACGATCCAAATATATATATTTTTTTAACAGGGTTACAAATATAAGGAGGGGAAATCGAGGGTTGAGGGATGCACCTTATAAATCGATTTATGACAGTTAGACCGTGAGATTCAAGTGCACGATCCAAATATTTATTTAAAAATTTTATGTGACATTAATATCTTTATTTTCTAAAATAATCAAACTACCCAATGAAGAACAAAGGGGCTAATCTTCGTCTCAGGTGAGTATAAAATAGCTAAATAAGCCTTCCCAGTTCTCACTGACCGCTGATTTTCTTGAGATCTCACCACGAATTGTCAATTGGTCAAGTTGCCTTATTGTTTTTTGACAGAGAGAATGATTAGATTAATATGTTAGTATCTACTTTGAAAAGAATTAAATATAAAATTAAAAATGCATTCCATCGATTGTTTTTTTTGGACAGTAATGACCACTATTAGCCTACGGGAATGCAAGTTGCCTTATTGTTGAAAGATCGAAAAGTGGACTTCTACGTGTAATCAATCTTAGCATATTTCTCCTCTCGTGAGGGACAATGCCATATTGGCATGTGGTAGGTAAATCGTAGATATTCCTACAAGTGCCCGAACAGTTTCTACTCTTACTTTTTCCCGATGTTGATTAGATTTCTGTATAATATGGTCTCTCTTTCTTTTATGAGAAGAACAAACACTGTCCCATTTAAACCAAAATCAGTCATTCATTTCTTACTATAATTTTCATATTAATTTAATTTAAATCCAGTTAAAAAGCCTAATTCAAATCAACCAGTTTTTTAAATTGAGTTTTTAGATTCAATATTCCGTCTCAAGTCTTAAGTACTTAAGGTGTAATTGGTTGAGAATTTGAATCCCATCAAATCTTTGAAAACAAATATTTTCATTCCCAAATTTGCCATGTTAAAAAAAAAAAAATCAACCAGTTTTTTAAGGAATGAAATTGAATCAAACTTTTTTCAAAAAGATTTGAACCAACTAATTGTAAAAGCCTATAGCTTTAACTCTAAATGTGAGAAGATTTTATATTTTTTTAACAAATTGTAATTATTTACATATTAAGTGCATGAATGGAGAAAGAGATTCTGTAAAACTCGAACACACAATTCATAAGAAAAAGTGAATGATCTTAATCTAGATCTAATATCATTAGGTCGGGGTGGATCGTTTGAGAAGATTTGATATTTTAAAAATATTGAAAAAGTCAAATTTATTTTTTAGACTTGTCAACTTAATGCAATTTAATTTTTGTATTTATTTAAGTCAAATAAACTTCAAAACTTATTTATGTAATTCAACTATTTTTTTTACGGTTTTATCTATTAGTTTTTACGATTTTCTTTTTCATTTACTTCCTTAAGTAATTTTCTGAAAAAACTAATATTCACTCTATAAAAAAAAACGTTGATTTCCCTCATGTCCACATGTATGAGGGTCTATTTGTCTCTAAAATGAGTTACATCAAGTCAATAAATTTGAAAGCCAGTTTGATCCTTTTACCTTTTTAAAGTTAGCAAGAACATAAATCTATATTTCAAAATCCTACCTTGCCTCTTTTTCTTTTTTTTTTTTGATAAATGGAGAGAAGTTCATAGATAATTAAGTAGGTACAGTAGTTCTGGGATACGTATTCCCAGCAGCATCAAAATTAACAGACATCAGACTTAGATCCTACTCTAGTTAAATAATCAATAAGAAAATTATGTGTGCACACCCAGATCCAACACCCGGGTGTACACACATTATATAAAAAAAAAAAATGCTCATCACCCAGTCCAATTTCTTTTTATGTGAGGGTGCACCGAGTGTTGGATCCGGATGTGCACCAATATAATCATTGTCCTAATCAATAACATAGCTTCCCGAAAAATTTGTGAGAATTGCAACTCATGCATCTGGTCCATATGAACATCCTGCAGTCAATGAGGAGAACAGTCAATGGGGGAATTCCGTTGTTTTTAGAGTTTAACAAAATCTTAGCAACTTGACAGTCGGTTTCAAGAATGAGTTTAGAAAACTGAAAACCCCCTACTAAGCGCAAGCGTAAGCGTAAGCGTATCCTTAATGGCTCACAACTTAGCTGAAAGACTAGAAGCAAAACCAACATTTTTAGAAACACCTAATTGCCATATTCATGTTCATCTCTGGGAACGCCGCCCGCTCCGGCCTGACCAAAATTGGGAGGGGCAGAAAACCATCTGTATTAATTTTGATAAAATCTGCAAGTGGAGGAGGTTACTTGACAATATAAAAGTTTAAATCTTTAATTTTAATTATAAATCAAAAATTTTAAATTAATAGTATAAATTTTGTCAGAATCTTGTCGATACACTCTGCCTTTTTATTTCTTATAGCAAAGCCACAACTCATCTTACTAATAAAGGTAATGAATGTGGTCACCTTGCCTTCAAAGAGTTGTTGGCCCCTCCCCAAGTTCTGGTATCATTGTCAACAAAATCAATTGTAGTATTTTCCTTTGGTTAGCTAATGAAGCACTCATCATTGAGGTTCCATCATATATACTCTTTTTCCATTAATGAGCTACATTCTATTTGACGAGGGTGATTGGTTTTTCATTTGGTTAGTTAGGGTTTAACCGTTGCAATTTTGGTTATTAAGGATATTTTTGTTTTCTTATTGTGTTTTTAACTATATGTGGCAAAATATCAAATTTGTAGAAATTAGCAACACCATATGTATAATATTTTTACCATAGTATTATGTTTTTAAAGGACAAGATAAATGGATATAATTAGGGATAATCTCTAAATAAAAAGAATTAATGAAAAAGTGATCATTATTGCACAAAATAATATACTTTTTGTTATGGTAATATACTCAAAAATAATATACCATCACAAAACAATATACCTAAAAATAACTATTTTACTATACATAAGCAGGCAATATTATGGCCACACAAACTTTTGAAATTTGAATATTGTACTTTAATATATTGATTTTGTTTGGTTTAGTCAATAATTGTAACTATTAATTGATAGATTATAAAATAAAA